TGAGAGATGTCATTTTTTCATCTTCCACGTGGTGAGATGTCCATCACACTGGATGATGTCTCATGTCTGCTGCATCTTCTAATTAAGGAAGACACCACGACAGGATAGCCAGAGATGAGTCACTGGAGATGACGGTGACATATATGAGAGTTGTTATATGGCTTATCTTAAAGGAGATAGAAGACACTTAAGGGTGTCATACTAGGTTTTTAATTCCTAGAGAGGTTGTATGCAAAACAACTGATAGCGATTCAGCAAGTTGCTGGTGATGACGAGCAGGATATGCAGCATAGAGCATACGCATTGAAAGCATACATATTGTACTTGGTTGACAAATCCATTTTTATTGACAAGAGTATCCCTTATGTGGATGTGGTTTACCTCATATATTTTGCTGACTTGAAGCAGATTCATGAGTACAACTAGGGGGTGTTTGTTTGGTCTACTTGTACTCCAAGTTAGTTAAAGGTTATATGTGGAAGACCAAACAGATGACAGCTAATTGCATGTTGTTGAAGCTAATATTTTTTGCATCTTTTACTATTTTTGTACCATTTTCATAACACTCGTGATACACCATTTCTAATAATTCATATGTACTATTTTCAGACATGGACCCTCCCGCACTTTTCATGCATATCCAGATGGTCATATGTTGATACCTACACTAAGGATATGCCATGTGCTTGTTCATTTTCTCCACTCAAAGAGAATTAGACGACGGAGACCTTCAAAGTGTATCTTGATTGCACGGTAGCAGATGATATAAACTTCCAAGCGTACGTAGATCACGGTTAAATGTGTCACTTGGACGGCATAGCCTTCTAGTCTCAATGGTTGTCTTCTGGGTCACATCCGATGTATCAATATCTTCCTGAACATGTCATACGCATGTTAGAATATACACAGTTTGTTCCTAGAGACCCCTCCAGTTCTGCTTCTCCAATGGCCCGCAAATATTTAGATGTCAAGTATGAGGATCACCTTAATCACTAGCTCCTAGCGAATGAAGTTGTGCATACGACTAAATCTCATGGTATTTCATGGTGTCACATCCTTATATGACATTGGGTTCTCGCCTAGGCCAGCTCATCAAGAGATATTATATGGAGAACGGGCTAGTGTAGACCATGTTGTTTATTTGTTGCCTAAATGTCGATGATCATGGATCTTGCGCAAGTGGGTGTTGACATAGTAGTCTTTTCGAAAGGCTCTGATGCGAGGAACATTGTAGATGACATCCTTACTGAGACACGGTCAACACTGCAATATAGGAGATAACGTAGAAATATAAGACCTAACATACACAATAATATATAGTATTTGTATTATAAGCACTATTATCGCTTGTAATTTATTTTCATTTATATATGGGGTTTTATATCATTTGATAAGTGTATGATTTAATTTATATAAATTTAATATGATATATAACTATAAATTATAATAGATGGTCAATTACATTGGTATATCTCTAAAATAAAGTTAAAATGAATGTGTCTTAGTTAGAAAAGTATGGAGTGTGTATAGGGTGAATCCCGAAATATATCTCCAAAATAAATTTTGGAGAAAAAAGAAATGAGTCTCACATAAAACGCATTTTAATTAAAAAAATATGTGTTCAAAAATATACTTCTGAATACTGATAGTTAGTTGGTCAAATGGTAATTGACGTTGGACTTAGTAGAGATGAGATATTTTTGAATTTCTTTAGTGCTTCTCAACCACTTAGGTGGGAGAAATAATCCTCATTCTTTTTCATATATCTTTATCTTTTTATAAAGTAAAATATATTTTAGACATTTGTATCTTTTATTTATTTTTTATAATTACAATTTTAATTTTGCTTTTCTATTTTTGATTTTCCATACAATAGCTTTTAAGCAATTCTTATAAGCTCGGTAGTTAATCGTATAATAATTATTTTTTTCGACTCAAATTATAAATTATTTTGTAGAAATATTATCCTAAATTATAAATTGTTTTGATAATTTTTTTCTTCTAATATATCATCTATTATTCATGACTCCTTTCAATTATTTTAATTTTAATTTTTAATATAATTAAAGAAAAGAAATATTGTAAAATTGAGTATAGTTTCTCTTTTTCATACAAAATAAATTATATCTTTTAATTTTTGTTGTTAAAAATATCTAAAATGATTTATAATATGAGACAGAAAGAATATCTTTGTTAAATAAAATTAAAAAATAAAACTAATTTTGGAGAGACAAAAAGAAAAATAAAAAATTAAAGCTTACTTAGAGGTGATCGGAAGTTTTTTTTTTATTTCTCTTTTTAAATGAAATTAATTTGAATTTTTATTTAATTTCAAAACATTTTTTTTACTAAAAGTCAAAATCTAAAAAGAAAGGAAAATTTTTAAATTGTTTTTTTTTTTAAGTCTAAAAGACCATTATCAATTATGATTGGACACAACTTCAGCTACTATATAATTATATAATTATTAGAGAGGTAAATATATATTTATGGGAATAAATGGTATGATATTCGTATTTGTTCCGTTAGATAAATATAATATCAATATATGTCTCATATTTATGCGACTATTTGATAAATAAATAATTTATCGATTTTAAGGTATCCGTAAATATTTATAAATATTTATGGATAATAATTTTTTTAAAATATTTTAAAAGACACAAAAAATTATTATCACGTAACATCCGTACAAATCTCTTATTTTAACTACAAAATTTTATCACATTAATTTTTTTCATTTTCACTAAAATATAATATCCATACATTTTACTTTTAATAAAAAAATAAAAAATATTGTGATTGTTAGTTATGGTAAAAGAGCGGGTGACTAAGATTTTCTTTAAAAAAACTTCAAATATATATATATATATATATATATATATATATATATATATATATATATATATATATATATATATATATATATATATATATATATATATATATATATATATATATATATATATATATATATATATGAGAAGACTAAATTTTTTAAAAGATGAGAAGATAAAAAATATATTATTACTAACAACTTTCGACTATTAACACGGCCAACAATCAACTTACCTTCATTTTGACAGCCACCGACCACCACAACTACCATCTGCCAACTAAACATCGTCTACCATCACTATAACTATTATTTTGGTCGTCTCAACCACCACAACTACTATCTCTAACCACCACAAACCACCACTTTATCCACCTATATTTTTTAGCTTAACCGACATCATTGAAACCACCACTATTTTAAAGACTAACAATGTGACTACTATTTTGAAGACTAACAATCACACATCGGTCAATTAGGGCTGATCTCGACTTTTTAAAGATCCAGGATAAATAATAAAAATGGATCGCTTATAAAATATAATTGTTTTTTTAGATGTCTCTTTCTGTTTGAGAGAGATGAAACAAAACTCTTCAATATTAAGAAGATGAAAATATTTTTTATTAGGTTACTTTTATTTTGCTGGATGTATTATTGATTAGGCCTATTATTTATATTGTTTGAACTAAACATGACTGCGAAATAATCTTTCAAAAATACACGTCAATTTAACAATAGAGATTAAAACTACGTGCATAAAATTTTTATAGAAACAAAAATGTATCATTTCTTTTATAAGGATCAAAAATAAAAATGGATAATTTTATAAGAATTAAAAACATATTTAACCCTATTATAAAAATTACTACTAAAAAAATATATGATATATTCATAATATTTTATTAATTTTACAAATCTAATAATATAAATGATTTGATTTTACATATGAATTGTTTGGATCAACATATACATTGAATATTCATTTTTATGTTTATATTTAAAATTGATTTTGTATTTGAAAATTTTATAACATAAAAATTAAAAAACATAGTTTTTAAAATTTTAAAACTCAACAAAAACCTATTTTAATTTTTATAATTTTCAAAACAAAAAACAAAAAGAAAAACACCTGAAATGGGGTCTAACTTAACCAAAACCAAAAGTAATTATATTTACTAGAATAAAATTTGTCTCCAATGCAAAAATCTAAATAGTATCTTACAAATACATATTAATTTGCTTTAAAAATAAATAAATTTCTGTTCCATCTCTTAGGAGAATCGCCATAGTGGTGTTGTTTGATCCATTGCATTTTATTTAATTAGGGAATCCCAGTTGAGGGAGCATGAGATAAACTAGTACCAAAATATGAATAATGCAACATAAACAAAAGTATGCATTTTTTGCTTGGTCTACATATGACTTATTCTTGGTTCATATGTTCTTAATAGTCAGCAATCTGTGTCATAATTTCATAAACTAGTACCAAAATATGAATAATGCAACATAACCAGAATTATAGAGTACTAGTACACTCTAAAGAGAACACATAATTCTCACGTATATTAAGAGATAGTATTCTCGTTCAAAAACTAGAGTTTGGTCTCCCTATAATCATTCAAAAACTGTCCCATAATCAGTTTCTCCTTTCACTTTATTTATTCCAAAAATAAAACATAACAAACCTGATGACCGTCTAACACAATCTTCCTCGTTAGATCGTAATATATCATTCATCTAAAACTGCTACACAATCATTCAATACACACAAAAGTTGGATCATTACAGATTAGAAGATCGCTGCTTTAGTATCTACTATAGCAAAAGAAAAATACTAAAATTCATATGAAATGACAAATGTGTGAAACATGAAACATCAACCTACATCATGTGTAAAGTGCTGAGGTTAAACTCTTAACGGAAAAAGGGAAACTGGTATCTAGAACTCCTCTTTCTATCACCAAAACTCTCCGGTGTTACAAGCTACAGAAAACAGAAGAGGGTGGCCTTGAACACCAAGCTAAGATACCAAAGACATTCTTGTACTGGCATTCAAATCGATGTTCTCTGCTAGAAGGAAGTGGTGCTTAGCCTAAAATTTGTTAAGCGGTACCGCCAAAAAAAAAAGTGAGTATTGAACTCGGGCTCCTTTCCAGAAAACAAACTAAAATTCATCTTTGGGGTACTTGTCACCTTTCCCTAGTTGAAAAAACCACTGAAGTATTTGGAGAATCTTGCTGCGATAGGGCTTCTGCTCTAGCTTTGCATTACAGACAGTATCATAGTCATGCTTCCGATGAGGAGCAACTATTTTTTCCTGTAATGAAAAATCAGTAATAAAAATAGCGGTAGATTAAAAAAATGTTACCAAATTAATTTTGCACACTGATCATTTTATATAATAGAGTGGGATCATAGTGTCACCTTGAATACTTCAAATGGACAGAAATCAGAACCATGACAACCCTGTATCCAATAACACGATAAAATTGTGTTATTGATGCACAACGGCATAATACAGTTTTAAACAGTCAAAAGTAAAACTCAACAAACCTCTGAACCGCATTCATAAACTTCATAAGAAACCAAAAGCTTACCGGCATTGGAATGGGGTGTTCATTGTGCAGCACTTGCACAAAGTGCTTGCTTCTAGATTTGTCTGGCGCAGGACAACTATACAGTACCAGCATGTTGTTACCAGCAAAAGGAGCCACAGTGTTACCCCTCCATTTTCTTTTCTGTGGAGGCTTTGGAGGAAACGCCAAAGGTATCTCCTTCTGGGTTTTGTCAAACTCTGTTAAAAGAGAATACTTGTAATCATAAACATACTCTACCACTACTTTGCAATGAAACCAAAATAGAAATTGATAAAAATTTATTCAAGAAAAGACTACAAAAGCCTCACCAGACCCTTCAAGAAATAAACCAAGCAGACATGAGAACGGGACTACAGTTTCTGCATGTGCAAACCGAAGTCTTGCTTTTTCAAAGCTGCCAGGTACGTGTTTTTCTACAGAAGCAATAAAGAAAATGGAAACAAAATAATGGTTCACAATGCCACTTATTCAAGATACAGCCTCCAAAAGGAAAAACAATCAATAGTGAAGTAATAATAACCCTATTTGCTAATTCTGAATTAACTAGGATTTCAACCTATAAACATTGACAAATGTGACATACCAATAGTGAAAAAGGAAAAACCGCTCAGCAAAACAAATGATTAACAAACGGAGCCAAACCAGCAAGAGAAGGCAGCAAAGTAAATTGTATCAGTCGGCATGAGAAGAGTGCCTAGGGAAACGGAGGTCATAAAAAAATTGTGTAAAACCTTTCTGGATTCCTCTGTCCCTCTCCTTATTCTTCTCTCCCTCTTCTCTTTCTACATCCTCTCTGAACCAGGATTCTCCTTTACTTCTATTTATTCTTCTAACTAGTATCTTATAGAATTTAAGCTAGTTAAGTTGAAACAATGAGAAGAAAATTATATATACTAACTAAAATTTTAAGAATCTGTACAATTGACAATTTGACAATTTGACAGGCAGACTAGAGCAAACCAAAAACCGTAGAATTTGAACACTGTTATTAAACTAAGCTGATGTTACAAAATCCATAGTTCAATTCAAAGAATATAAACTTTAACCAAAGAAAAAAAATTGACTTATACATAAAATAAATCCCTTTGTAGTTAGCATATCAAAACTCGGTTTCAGTAAATGTCAAGAAGATTAAAATTAATAAGATCCATTTTCTTGTAAAACAGGAAACAACTTAAAGTTGTTCTATAAATTTGAGATGCTTTTTTTAGTACTAACAAACAATCCGTTAGAAATTAAAGTTGGCCATCTATCATTAAACTAGAACCTATTGGAAGTATCTTGGGAAAACTTAATTATTAAGGAAATGAGCAGCTCATGCTGAAGGGTCTAGAGCTTTCGTTTGAAAGTGGTTATTTATCATCTATTAGTTGTTTTGGTCGGTTTAAGGAGAGTAACAACCGACCCTTTTTTGTTGGATAGCTAGTATTTTTCCTTCTTCTTGTTGTATAAGAATCACAAGAGAATTAAAAACTTTAACTGAGTTAGTTCCCTGTGCAATGCTTCAGCGTGGCTAAAATTAAAATTTGTGTTTGTGAGTCCATATTGCTCATTGAGTGAGTCTGTTTTAATTGCCAACACAATCCTTAGCTAAATACACTGCAATAACTTCTTTTAACTTAGAAGATAACAGATTGATAAAACTAGAAAAGGAAATATGTGTCACTAGTTGGCAGATGATATTTAAAATTTATAAGCTAGATAGAGGTCTAAGCATATTTCTTTATGTTATATGTCCATTGTTTGGTTTGATAAAAAGGGGATGGAATGGGGCGGAACATAGCATTACATCCCATTCCATCACCTAACCTCATTTTTGTACCTTTCGATTGGGCAGAATAACAATTTTGTTCCATTCCATCCTAAAATTTCCAAACAATGGAATGGAATCTCTATTCCACCAAGCTTTGTTCCGCTCCATTTCACTCCGCTTCATTCCGCTCCGTTCGTTTTAAAATATCCAAACATAGCCTTTAAGAATTTTTGAACAAGAGAACTTTACTTTAATAATATATAAATGATTTATCTTATAAAAGCTAATTCGGTATATATGAATATTTTAAAAAGAACAAATTTTTGGTTAATTTCTCTCAGAAGGCATCAGTTAAGAGGTTCGAAATGATGGGGTTGCTGTTATCACTATGTGTAATCCACCTGTTAATGCTTTAGCTCTTCCAACTATTAGGGCGTTTAAATACAAATTAGATGAAGCAGCAAGGAGGAATGATGTAAAAGCTATAGTTTTGACTGGCAAAGGTGGGAGACTATTGATAGACTTCATATTATGGGTAGTTATTTTTATTGATGAGCAGTTATGGCTAGTTATTTTTGTTGATGTCGGTTATGTGTGGAAGTTACGGGTTATGTGTGTTTTTGTTTTAGAATAAATTACGGTAGAGTTATCGAATGATTTTGGGTGGGAGACCAAGCTCTCTAATTCTTGGAGGAAGAGACCAAACTCTCGAATTCTGAGAGCAAGACTCTCAAAGTTCTTGGATTAGTTTAGGTGTGTATTATGTCTTCTCTATAGTGTTTGTAATTATGTGTCTATTGTAAACATATTCTGCCATAAATAAAAATCGGTTTCTACCATTAATTTGTATTTTGAGACCGGTTTCTATCACAGGTATCAGAGCTCTGGGATAAAAAAAATTGATGATGACACCAAGGAAGATGGTTGAGAATAGCTAAGGGATGGGTTTACTCCTGAACATGAGGAGCTTGAGTGGGTCAGACTGGCAGCAGTTGATGTCTCAGTGTTCCCCATGATAGCATTTCTGTAACGTAACTATAAGTGGCAGGTGAGGGATCAGGACCCAACCGACCGGCTGCACTCACTGAGTGTGCTAGTGGGGGAGATGTTTGAACCATTGAGACTGCAGGAGTAGCTGGCCCCAAAAACCTAAGGAGTACTTGAAGGTCTTGAGATAGTAGGCACTCGTGCTACAAATCTTTCAGTTAATCTTGCAATTGAAGTCTTCTGGATCTCAGTTTTGGACGCAGTTGTAGCTTGCAAAGCAGAGGGAAGAGGGGAGGATGTATCTTTATCAGTCTGTTGGGAGCCACTTAAAGCTGTTTTAGTGACATGAAAAGGATCTAATGTAGCACTTGTCTTGTTTTCTAAATTCATTTGAGCAGACAAGTTTCTAAGAGAACTGAGAGGTGGAGAAGAAACGGCTTTCTGTAGACATTCGTTGTCAGTCTCTCTCTCTCTCAACAACTTGGTTTTGGATGCTGGGTTTCGTTTGAAGTGAAAGAACCTCCTTGTCCTTTCTGACAACATGCTTCTCAGCACACTTTAACCGGACCTTCGAGGTGACGACAGCACCCTCAGACTCATTTTTTCCAACCATACCATTTCTAGACTCTTCGTTAATAACCCCAACATGTACTGCAGCAACTGATGGCTGACTTTTTTCTTGATTCGTCCAACCACCAGTGTCACATGCTGCTTTGCCTCTGCTCTTAACAGTTGAATGTCTGCTAGGTGACTTCAGGACTTCACAATTTGAAAAGGTGTTCCCATGTAGGGGTCAATCATGACTACTGATGGTGGCAAAGAATCGAAAGAACACATTGAAGAGCTATCATCTATCGCCGAGTTGCACCGTTTAGCAGACATTCCACTTTGTTTGGATGAAACACCACATATGCCATTGTTACAGGCCTCAGTTGGAGGTTGAACTTCCGATCCATCAGTGTCCCAATTAACAGGACTAATATCTCTGTCTTCTGAATCCAGCTGTAGCCCTTCAGCCACTCCATCTACAGAATCAGACACATCAGAAATATCTCCCACAGCATCATGCTTTTCAGACAGAGTTTGAGTTCCGTCATTAGAATCCATTTTCTCATCAACAGCATTGTTTTCCTGGCTCGTCTCATGCACAGCCATAATAACTCTCCTCCCTCACTTTATCCTTTACTTTCCTATTGTTCGCTTTTGTTTGGCCTGTTTTTTCTGTGACTTCTTTTCCCGCTCATTGACTCCAAGTTTTGTTGTCTGATCATTTTCAGCTTGCCATGATGCCTCTTCTTCACAAATGAGTTCTTCTTGTCTCTTTAGATCAACAGCTTCCTAATAAGCTACCTCTTTTGTTGGCTGAACATATGAGCAAGCACAAATATTTCTAAAGTCCTGCGCCCAATTCAGTGAGACGCCTTTCATCATCATGCTCCATCGAATCTTTATTGAAATCCTCCCCAGAGTTTCCATTCTTTGAACGATTTTGAGGATCCTTTTCATCTTTTGGAGGGAGTGGTTCTATAGCAGCCCTTTCAAGAAGTGGTAAAACATCATCCACCAGTATAAACATATCTTTTTCAACACAAACAACATGTGCTGTTATTTCTTCAGAATCCAACAATTTTACCAAACCTTTCTTGCTAGTCTGGCCCTCAAGAGCCTTCAATCCACTATACAAGAAATCCATTACCAAAGTAGAAGTGACTTCTTTCTCAATAAAAAAGTGTTTCACTACAACTTCTAAAATTACATTTGTCTTCTCCCTAGACATTCGGCGCCCGGATACCGGGAAAATGGTGGTATTACTAAGGTGAAAAGAATCATACATTGAGGCTTTAAAATGTGGTTTTGAAGGGTTGCTTGCTGTGCGAAAAATCTGGAGCAGAATATGAAGGAACGTAAGGAGCGCTTGGAAACACGAAAAACGGTTATAAGCCTTGGCTCTGAAAGTTCACCAAACTGGAGATATTACACTTCTTCCTGATGTGTCTATGGAGCTAGTTGTCAATTCAACTGAAGATTCAAAGAAGCCTATCGTTGCAGCAGTAGAGGGACTTGCTCTTGGAGGTGGATTAGAATTGGCCCTGGGATGCCATGCATGTGTTGCTGCTCCGAAAGCTCAACTAGGCTTGCCGGAGCTGACACTTTGTGTTATTCCCGGATTCGGAGGTACACAGCGTCTTCCAAGGCTTGTTGGGAAGTCTAAAGCAGTTGAAATTATGCTGACATCTAAACTAATAATGTCGGAAGAAAGGCAGAAACTAGGACTCATTGATGCTATTGTATCTTCTAAGAAGCTATACTAAAGGTGTCTACGCTATGGGCTCCGTAAGTTGCCGAGAAGCACAAACCTTGGGCCCGTTCACTTCATAGGACAGACAGACTTGGTTCCGTTGCATGTGACGTGTTGGCAACTGCCAGACAGCGTGTAAAAAAGCCTGTTCCACATTAGCCTCAGCAACAAGCTTGCATAGATGTGATTGAACATGGGATACTTCATGGAGGTTACAGTGGAGTATTAAAGGAAGCTGAATTATTCAAGAAACTAGTCCTGTTTGAAACCGCAAAGGTTTAGTTGATGTACTCTTGCTCAGCGCACAATATCAAAGGTTCTTGGTGTAACTTAAATTGGACTCAAGCCAAGAAATGTGAGAAAAACTGCTGTTATTGGGGGAGGTCTAATGATGGGTTCTGGCATTGCAACCACACTTATATAGGCAACATCTGTGTCATACTCAAGGAAGTCAATTATAAATATCTTCAGAAGGGATTAAAAACAATAGAAGCAAATGTTTGCAGCTAAATAACAAGAAAAGAGCTAACTCAACAGAAGACGGACGGAGCTCACCATAAGGGAATTCTTGATTACACAGAATTTTAAAATGTGTACACGGTCATTGAGGCTGTAATTGAAAAAATCAGTCTTAAACAAGAAATATTTAGTGATCTTGAGAAGATATGTCCCCCATATTGCATTTTGGCCTCAAACACATCTACTATTGACCTTAGCATTATTGGTGAAAAGATTAGCTCTTAAGATTGTGTTATTGGGGCCAATAAAACATCTGCACGAGTTATTCTTGATCTGATTACGTTTGGTAAAGTCATAAAAAAAGTCTCCTGTTGTGATTTGTAACTGCATTGGCTTCGTTGTGAACAGAACGTTCTTCCCATATGCACAAGGTGCCCATTTATTGGTCAATTTAGGCGTCGTGCTTTCAGAATCGGCAAAGTGGTAAGCAATTTTGGCCTTCCCATGGCCTTCCCATGTGTCCCTTCCAGCTTTAGGACTTGTCCGGCTACGGTGTTACTGTAGCAGTTGGAAAAGAATTTGATGGTGCATTTCCTGACTGCACATATAAAACTCCACTGGTTGATCTTTTGATCAAAAGCGGGCGAAATGGAAAAGGGTACTACATTTATGAAAATGGTATCAGAGCCTATCCAAAGAATCATTGGACCACCTGCTATTAGGTTTCCACTGTAGGTCACCCGCCATATATATCCACGCATTAAGCCCAATAGTATTGGGTGTGAGGGGTGTGTTAAAGAATCTCACGTCGGATGAGATATGACTTCGGATATGTTTATAAGTGCGAGCAATCCTCACCTTACAAGTCGGAATTGTAAGATTGAGTTAAGTCCAACCCAAATTCTAAGAAAATGATATGACATACAAGAACCTCAATATTAAAAATGCTAAACTACCTTCTTTAGCCATGATAGCTTGCTCCATGGATTGAACAACATCTTCAAGTAATGGCATCCCCATTCTATAATTTATTGATTTACCATAACCCTTCAGAATGAACATTTCCAAGTCATCTGTCCACTCCAGCAATGTAACCTATATACACAAAATTTAACATTTTATAAGCATGCAACATGCAACTGTATTGCAGAAAAACTCAGACAAAGATCTTGATTATATGGTGAGAGCTAAACTGAGTTTTTTTAGAGTACACTCAACAATAGTAACTTTCTTGGTATTCAGCATGAAAGACACCATATTCAGTTTCTTTGCAGTCAGTTAACAACATATTATAGAAATATCATATCAAAGAGTCAAAACTTGGTTCTTGTATATCATAATGTCAAAATTCAATGACGGTCTGACATCTTTTATTTTTTACTTTATTTAAATATCTCCAAACTAATTAAAAGGAAAAAAGCCATCTGTTAGATCAAATATCTAATCACAACATCTTGACCATAAAAGTACCTCAGATGGGCTGAAAAGACTACAAGCTTGATCAGTTATATCCAACAAGGATGCTTCCTGTCAAAATAACCACAAATTGAACAATTGGAAACAGAGAAACAAAAATAACTAACCTCCATGACACTAGTAAATGATTATGTGTGAACTTAAAAGAAAAACACAGGGAAAATCAAAAGAAACTGGGAATAAAGAAATGCAGTCACCTCTTTACATAAGAACCAGAGAGATGCTGTAAGCTGCCTTGTAAAATTCAGCCCATAACGCCCAACTAAGGCAGATGTAATCTCATCCAAGATAGGTTCCTTAAGTTTATCAACTGCAGGCTCCTGCCTTTTCCTGAAATCCTGCTCTCATAACAAAAGAAATCATATAACCATAAAGAAAAGTTAGGAAATAAACTAGACTAGAGACTACTTTTTTTGTTAGGAAACATACAATACCTTTAAGACTACGGAAGATCACAAAATGTTCAATTTAGATAAATAGAGTCAACATATATATGAATAAGTAATTAAGTATAGCCACTTTAAACACAAAATTTGCTTTCATATTCAATATACGAAAGCATTAACATTAGACAGAATAGATATAGTGACTTCAACTAAATTTGTTAAACTCTGTTGTAACGGTGTGACACTACAGAACTGTAAGCAGAAAGCACCTAACAGAAAAATGGAAGCAAATTTATCACAGAAAGGAATTTAGAGACATGGTCTTTCTGATTGGCCATTAAAAATGGTCTAAAATATAAGCCCAGCAGAAAAGGTGCCACATGCAGCTTGGGTGACTGTTTATAACATGATACTAATATATAGAAGCATAATTGTAAATACATTAAAATGCATGAAATTGGCTAATCTATGATCAGATTACACGTAATGTAACTGTGTCAGATAAACATGAAACTTTTGCATTAGAAATCCTCCTGAGAAATCAATAACGGCTACAACGTTACCTTGTAGTTTTGACAACATTCATGAAACCTCAGCATGGTGTCACTAGCACGGTTTTCACTTATAACAGAAAAAGCTCTGTGCTGCCCAGGTCCAAGAGTTCCATTGCCACTGAAAAGACCCATTCCAAATGCCACGGCACTAGCTGATGCTCGAGGAATCTATTTTCCATACATAAAAGAGATGCATAAGTTTTTAAAAATATCAAAAAGGCAAATTCATTTCTCAGTGTTGCAGTGGCACTGCAACTGATCATGATGCCTCACCTGAGTTGCCTTAATAGGATATATATCTGGATGGTAATCCTCGTCAAACAAACTTGGAAACCTATCTCGAATCCTGATTCCAAGAGCATATAATTCTTCCTCTCCTCTTTTAATTAACTCACCACCCTTAAGCTTTCCTTGCCAAGGAGATTTCCATCCATTCAACCACGAAGGAACTCTCTCGGAAGACAAATGCGCATCCCTTATAAGAACTTCCAAATGGGCTGACAAATCGCCCAACTGCTTAATTCTTTTCTTCGTTGGAGAACGGGTCCCGTGCCTTGCCTGGCAATGTAACATATAACATAGCATTATCAATTATCCCACTGTTCCATTTCGTGAATGAAATCATTAACCCTTAACCCTAAACTGTAAAGAAAATTACCACTAGATTTAAATGTATGGGAGTACATCCTTCAGGAACTTTAGAAGGAATGAAGTTCTTGTCAGTAATATCTTTCACAACTCCGTACCTAAGCAGAAAATTAACAAGCGCAATTTCATCAATCTCAATACGCTTTCAAAAAAAAATAGACAAAGCGCGCACTGAAGCAACCACAATAGAGGGAAAACGAAGGATTTCGGTTGATTATGATAGGGGAACGAAAGAGAAAAACCTGGAGACAGTAGAGAGATGTTCGCGAACATCAAAAGGTTCTTCTTCAGCGTATGACAAGTGTAAAACTGAAAGGAACGATATTAGTAGAACGAGAGTAATTGTTTTCGCCATTTTCATTTTCTCTATGCGCTTGAGTTTTGTATCTGCAGAACCGAAAAGGTAATTATTATACTCTATGTTACAGTTTCCACGTTTTCTAAGTAAAGTTAAATTGACGATGACGTCATTTCGTTAAACACGAGAGGGATGACTGGTTTTCTTTTCATGGAGACGACATAGCCTGGATATGGGCCTAAGCCCATGGCCCAGAAGTTTAAAAAAAGAGTAAGGAAAAATAGGCAAACTTCAAATTTTGTAAATAAATAGATGGATAGAAAGGATAGTAAAATTAGGGTTGAAATTGTGAAGAGGGAAAGAGTAATACCAGATGAGAGTAAGAAGATGAAAGTGGGGAAGATTCGTCACGGCGAAGTACGCCGCGTTGCGGGGCAGGTGGATGATGTAATGAAGTGGAAACGAATTGCGGCTGGACTGCTGCCAGAGGATTGGAGACGACGGTTGATGGAGGCGTGGCGACGAGGAAGGCTTTCGGAGGGCGTGGCGACGAGGAAGGCTTTCGGAGGGCGTGGCAACGGCGGTTGACGGGAATGTATAGATGGATGTTAATGTGTTTGGGTTTATGTTGTTTCCAAATGACTAAAGATGACACGTGACATCATCTTGATATCATGATTTATCTGATGGACACAAATGAGCGAAAGTTAAAGTGACCTTCCCGTGGCAGTTAGAGATTCGGCTTCCAAGAGAGACCCGTTACTTTTTCTTTTGTGTTGGTACATTTACTTAAATGAAAAAAGAATACGGATTTGTGTTATTCTTAAGACTAATAATAAACTCCTGCTATGGGTCCTATCTAACATCATATTATATGTCTATTAGATCTTTAATTATATAGATTAATAATATTAATTTGTAATTATAATAAATTGTACAGTTAATTCTCTAACTTCAATTATATAAACAGCACAAAAAAAAACATTTATTATTTGTTTTATTATATTTTCGACTAATTAATAATGACCTCCTCTTGGAACAATAGAAAAAATTTGTCTATAATCTCCTCCAAAAATAATAGCTTCTCCACTTGGTAAACTTTGAAAGCTGAAACATTAGTTGGCCCGCCTAGTAAAGGAGAAGTTGAAGCTGAAACAAAAGCACGTCCTTAATTCTTCAAAAACATATAATGTCAGTTATTTTCGTCTAATTAACAATGAAAAAACTCAAATCATTCGATTTATTATATTTAGAATATGTTCTGGACTGGGCCAGTACTTGCCCCGCCGTTGGGGAGGCCCACTCCGACGCCTTTGCCCAAAGCCCAAAGGCATGAAACCCAAGCTTGAGACTCGTCGGGCCCCTAGAAGACATAGAAGACCTAACACTCCTCCTCCCCGTCAAAACAAAGACCATCCTTAGTCTCCCTCACGGAGACACGGACGGGACAAATCACGAAGCCTTTCTTCCCGACAAACTGGGTGAAGCCTCGCGTTGAAGAGGACATTTCTCGAAGCCACGGGGAGACGCAGTCACACTCGCGCGCGCGTAGTGAACGACGATCCCCTGGAAACAACAGAAACATGGGAAACGGAGAAGCACAACTTCAGCCAAGGGATCTTCCCCCGCGGCCAAGGCCGCCACCATGACCACCATTACAATCGGACCGTCTCTCGCTCTCCATACAAGAGCGACGAAGACGACCCCCGCGGTCCCTTATCCCAAGCAATCATGGAGGCGCCCATTACTAAGGGAATGGAGAAACCTCCCTAACTGAAGGAATACGACGACATTGCATATCATGTCGACCACATCGACAGTTTCAAAGCCATGCTCCATTATCATAATGTCGGGGGGCGATCAAATGTCGGTTGTTTCCCACGACCTTGAGAAAAACTGTCATGGACTGGTACAAGAACCTCGCCCCAGGGTCGATCACCTCTTGGAGAAACCTCAAGAACCATTCATCAGCTCATTCACCGTGTCTCGTCGACATACAAAGATTGAGGCCACCCTTGAGGCTATCATCTAGGGAAGCGACGAGACCCTCAGGGAATACATTGATCGGTTCAACCGCGAGGCCATTCAGGTCTTGTGCACCGATCACATGAAAAGGTACCTGCTCGAGAGAGGACTCTTCCCTGGCACTAAATTCAGAAAGACCGTCGGCATTGAGCCACCCTGGTCCTTCGACGCTCTCCTCAAAAAATCTTGGGCCTACATGGACTACGAGGAGAAGGAAGCAGCCAATAAAGCATGTGACTCGAGGAATCGTGGACCAACCAATGCCCCACGACACCAGGACGTGGGCCCTTCTCGAAGAACTGGCGAGAAGAGAAGGCATGAGAAATTACACGATCCCCACGAGCACAGAGGACCAACAGGGCAGTTGACAGAGTACACCCCGCTGACTGCTTCCCGCGAGCGTATCCTGGTAGAGTTCTCTAACATCGAATTCAAGGACGACGGTGTCATACATCCTCGATATGCTCGTGTGAAGCTCGGGGCGGACATGACAAAATATTATCAGTACCATCGGAATCACGGGCACCTGACAGAAGGCTGCATCCACCTTAAAAATGCCATCGAGACCCTCATCAAGGGTGGCAGTACCGACGCAATGACGCACCTTGCTAGGACACTCGCAAGGTCGAAACCTGACCATCGGATGAATCGGGACTTATCCAGATAGCTTTCTTCGTGACAAGGCCGGAGGACTTCAATGTCCCTGACAGCTACGAGGACGAGCCCTTGTCCATGCACAGCAGACGGGAGAAACCCCCCTCCACCATGGTCATAACCGACGAGGGATTCAACAATATCTCTATAAACTCCGCGAAGAGGAAGCTCGACGAGTTGGTGGATGTAGCCCCAACCCAAGCGGTGACACTCTAGAGGTTCAAAGGAAAATTTGAACCAATCACTTTCTACCTTGAGGAGTTGCCCGGTGGAGCCCCTAACTCCAGCATCCCTCTGCTAGTGAGGGCGAGGATGGCTAATCTCAACGTACATCGTATTCCATAGATGAGTTGGACAGTGACATGTCATGCTCCCTGATCATGAGAGATTTGTCATTGGAAGCGTCTTTTTGTTTGAAGTGACTCTATTTATTGAGAGAGTTTTTGTTCACTAGATATTTGTTGTGCGGATTTCTCTATTGTCAAACAAATAGCCATATGCAAACAGCGGTATTCAAACAATACAAAGTTCTTGAAGTTTTGAAAATGTATTTTAGCAAATAAAAGAATTTTGTAAGAATATGAATTCAACTCAGGATTTACAGTAAGCCTTACAGGAGTCAGGATACCTTTTGTAACAACATGCTTTCGAACTAACATATGCTTCAATTAGGACTTTTAAAGGGTTTTAACATGGCTTAGTTCACGGTTTAAGAAACAAAGGATAAGGCTCAAAGTTTATTTGTATCCAACATGTTCTCCATGATGTTCTCAAGTTCTATACTCAGTTAATTGTGCATTTATCTCCTACTATAATCTGGAATGATATTTTGGTGAGGGTTCGGATACTTGGAAGTTTATTTGAGAAGGAAGTCATTTTTGTAAAAAATTTCATGTTGTCGAGGATTTGTAGTGACCTCTTTTTGATTTATGATCCTTGGATTTTGCGTGACTGTTTTTTTCTTGTTTTTGAGACTACAGTCAGCGGGATGTCCCATTTTTTTCTTAAGTCTCCTTCGTAGGTTTTGACTTAGTGGGCTTTTTCTTTTGAGAGATGATGACTGCCTATTTTACGGGGAATCATCGTTGTCTTTTGATTCAAAAGGACGTTTTTTGATGTCATTCGTTATGTATGAAGTGAAAGCTTGCGACTGAACGCGCATTTAAATTAACTGAGAAACTAACCTGCCCCAAATTTTGATTAAAGGTCTCAATTTATGCAAAAAATAAAACTCCTACTTCTTTGGCTCAAAGGGGTTGACTAGGGATTATCTTCCTTATAACTCCATTGTTTAGGAATTGAAAAAACGCCTGTACATCGTCAGCAAGGTCTGTCCAAAAGCATACTGTATGAGATTATGGTATTGTTTTCGTCATCCTCCCTCTAAAGGCTTACAACTTTTAACGAGAGTTGAATATCACAAAAGGGAGTAAAAGCACAGTTTAAATATAATGAAAATGAATTGATTAATTCAAGACAAACATATGCAAATGCATTAATGAAACAAACAAAGTCTGACATAAAGATAAGTGTTTAAGCAAACAAAGAAATTACAACTGAAAATTCGAATGAACAAAAATTTCTCCACCTAAACTGGTCACTTCAAATGGTGTGCCTTTGAGGGATGACATAAAGACTCAAGTTTACCGTCTTGTATGAATTCCAATGGCCATTCATCGATCAGGTCTTGAATCTTGTTTTTTCAATGCCCAACAGTGGTTAGTGTCGTGTCCCTAGCTGTTGGAGTGGTATGTGCACTTTTCATTGTGTTTGTAGTTGGGAGCAAAAGTGTTAGGTTTTTGAGGAGGCTTCCTTAATGTAATCAACTTGGCTTCCAACATATGATGCAATGCTTGAGCCAAGGACATGTTGATCTTGATAAATTTTCTTTTGGGCGTATCTTGTTTATGCTGACCACCCTGTCGTGGTTGGCGAGGTTCTTGTTGGACTCTTGGTATAATAGCCATTTTGAAGGGTGTTCTCTCGACCAAACTAACTTCTTATCTCATCGGATGCTGATTAATGACTCGATCCCCAATTCTAGTTGTTTGTTCCATATGGTTGCATCCGTCTTGATGAAGCTTGTTGATGAGGGCTCTCAGCTCTTCTTGTCCCCGAGCTAAGTTTGGGATAAGAGCCATCTGACCCACCATTTGCCCCATCATTTGGACTTTCATTGTTTCCATTTCAGTTTGTAATCATTCTAACTGGTCGTCCCTATTGTCTTCAGGATTCCTCTTGGTCATGATCTCAATGAGGAGTGTTTTCACTTATTCTTGCCCCTTGGATAGGTTCAAGAACATTTCTTGAAGCTGAGAATTTTGAGTCTAAAGATCTTTGATAGTCTGTTCTAGATCCATCTCTACTAAAATAAATAGTAAGCG